CACCAGCAGCTTCTGAGCAGGGCTGCTGCTGCAGCAACTGGGGACCTGTTTGGCTTCCCCAGTGTCCCACTGGCTCTGGGCAGCAGGTATGGAAGTGACAGGGTGGGGGCAAAGCTGCAGCTAGGTGGAGCATGGACCATGGGGCTGGGGTTGGCGGCAGTGTGGAGCCCATGCCCAGGGGGTCAGCAGCAGTGCAGAGCTTCAGTGGGCAGTGTGTGGGTGAGAGGATGGGGGTGTGTGGGGACTCCCTTCCATCCCACACTCCCTCCATGGTGCACAGCCCTGGCAGGCAGTGGCAGCAGTAGGCAGGGGTGCTCAGGGCACTCATGCCTGGCACAGCTGTTGGTGCCTGGCAGCATGAGGCTCCAGCCAGCACTGCACATTGCGGTGAGGAGTGCAGCCCCTGCTGGGCCAGCTCTATCACTAGTGCTCCCTGCCAATGTTCCCTATAAGGTGCAGTGGTCCATGAGCATGCCGCTTGTTGTGAAGGTCTGAAAAAGAAGCCTGCCACATAGGCTTAACTTAGAGTTAATATTTCTCTGAGATGGCCTCAAAGGGCCAGTACTATTCTGAAGGCTGACCGCAGATTAAAACAGGAAGGCCAAGCAGCAGGAAAATCCCTGACCTGGATTTTCAAAGAGTGTACAGGCTGGTGGGGCCAACCTGGGAATGCACCCTGCCCCCAGGCACCAGCTTTCCCAACAGGGGCCAGGCCCCCACCCTCCTCCCAGGCTGGGAGGAAAGCTCTTTTGGAAGGTGTATATACGCTGAGATCACTCTTGCCGTGACTCAAAAACGTGCGAGTGGCTCGGAGCGATTCCCCTGCATCGGAGCTGCTCTGGTAAGTCGAGGGAGCGTGCTCCTGGCTGAGCTACATAGGCCAAAGCCTCCTGAATGCTTGAGGGCCAAAGATCCCATACAGATATATATATATATTTCCCGCCCCCCTTTGCAAATGAACTCTGCCTCTGGATGAATGCCAAAGCAGGCAATTGCTTTCAGCCCACCTCAGGTTGAATCTAGCTCAGCCCCTGTCTCAGAGAGGAGTTGCTGCCTGCCCTGTGTCACTCTCCCTCCCCATGGGGATACTGGTGCAGTGAGAAGTGGAGCGGAGTGGCCCCCGTGCAGCTGAGCAGTAACTTACCACTGGTAAGGTGTCCCGTGGCGGCTCTGGTGCCTTCCCCACACTCCGCACCCAAAGTTGAGAGGAAGCCGCAACCTAGCTCCTCTTCAGGCAAGTGCACAGCATTCAAAAGTTTGTACACAGCAAGATTTTTTTATTGTGCACAGCTGCGTACACGCATAGATTAGACAGAACCTTGCTCCCTGCTGCACATGTGTAGCCCCTACGCTTGATGGCAACCCCCTGTCCCAAAAGGAGTACTTCTTGGGGCAAGGGGAAGGACTTCTTGTGACAAAGGACAGGGATTAGGGGGTGGGACTTTTGGTTCCAAGATGGTGATCAGGTGGTGCGGGCACTTATCAAGGGGCAGAGCTACCCTTCTGGCCCTTGACAGCTCACCAAAAGTTGTTAGGTGGTCCTACAGCCAAAACAGTTCCCCTGAGTTAGGGGAAGAAGGGGGAGCCTGGGAACTCCAGCAGCTACAGCAAAAAGCAATGGGGGGAGCCTGCAAGGTGCCAGTTGGACAGCCCTGATTTAGTGTACATTTCCCTACCAAACTAAAGCACCAGCCTAATATCTTACTCCTGTCTTTATCTTCTGGAGCATATTTTTATTAATACAATGTAATATTAAAATTAAATCTTAAACCACAAATTTAAAGCTATATTCCTTGATACTTCAACAGTGTAATGGGAAAGACTAAAAAAACCTTGAGAAAACTGTAGATACAAATCTCCTTAAAAGTGTCAGGCAGGCAGTAAGAGCCAGCAGATGATCATAACAAATTTCATACCTGTTGCTGTAGCACTTGTCATCCATTCTGGTAGTGGTTTCATCTCGGATTCCAAAGCCTCCAATGGAGCCTTCTTCAAGTCGTACCGTTCAGATGCTAACAACTCCATAAACTTGTCAGTAGTGATTTGAGATCTGTCCTCAGTTGTTTCTACATATGAAGGAGCAGGCAGAGAGATACCTGGTCCACCTCCTTCAAGCAGTTCTTCTTGATCATCCTCAAGACGCAGGTATTGAGGAATGAGTTCCTGCTGCTCTGCACTTGACAGCTCTTGTTCTTCTGAGGCAAATTCCTGCTCTACTTCCCCAGGGGCCCATTCCTGTTCTCTGTCCCTTGGAGCTGGTTGCTCTGTGGTCAGTTCCTGCCCTGCTTCCCTTGGAACTTGCTCCCCTGAGGCCAGTTCCTGCTCCTCAATTAACTGTGCTGCCTCTGTTGGCTCATCCAGATGCAAAGATTTCTCTGCTGTATCCACGTGATTGGTTTCTACTTGTGGTATTATTACAGGTGCATGCTCTATCATTTGCTTAGCAGTGTCTGGTACCTCAGCTTGATCTTCTTCACCAAGGATCTCCCCTGCTTCCTCTGCATCAGCCATTTTCCTAAAATAAAAGTTTCCACTAGCTTTAACAGCCACCTTGCACAAATCAGTAGAATTTCCCCCCAATAGTTAAGACCTTATTGGGCCACCTTACCCAGAGAAGGCAGTCTTTCACTGTTTCCTACTCTGTTACTTAACCTACATTTTGGAGATTCCACCACCTCTCTGGGTAACCTGTTCCAGTGCTTCATCACCCTCTTAGTGAGAAAGTTTTTCCTAATATCCAACTTAAACTTCTCTTGCTGCAACTTAAAACCATTGCTCCTTGTTCTGTCATCTGCCACCACTGAGAACAGTCTAGCTCAGGGGCAGGCAATTATTTCAGGCGGAGAGCTGCATACTGAGTTTTGGCAAGCTATTGAGGCCCACATGACAGGCAGTCAGGGGCAGATGAATATCATTTTCTAAATTTTTTAGGGGCCCCTCGGGCCAGATAGAATGGTTTGGTGGGCTGCATACGGCCCATGGGCTGCATTTTGCCCACCCCTGGTTTAGCTTCATCCTCTTTCAAACATCCCTTTAGGTTACTGAAAGCTATTATTAAATCTCTTCAGTCTTATCTTCTCCAGACTAAATAAGCCCATTTCCCTCAGCCTCTCCTGTCCCCCAGCCCTCAAACCATTTGCACTGCCCTCTGCCAGACTTTCTCCAACTTGTCCGCACCCCTTCTGTAGTAGGAGACCCAAACTTGGACACAGTACTCCAGATATGGCCTCACCAGTACAGATCAGAAAGGAACAATCACTTCCCTGAATCTGCTGGCAATGCGCCTACTAACGCAGCAGTTTCCACTCTGAATAGTTTGCGCTCAGTGAGACTTGCTCATACAGGTAAGGCACAAGGGCATCTATTTTCCAGAACCTGCCACAGGAATATTCTGTGGTACCTCAGGCAGGGCAGAGCACAACTGCCCTTCCCCTTACAGGCTCTCCACCTCCTGCCCTATCGCTGCCAACCCCAAGATGCAGCTTGGGGTGGTTCCTTGCTCCAGAGCGTGATGCCCAGCTCCGGTGCCATGGCCTCTTGACGCCAGACTGCTGCAGATGGCTCACGGAGCAGGGCACCTGCACACCCGCTGCCTCGGCTCCTCAACTGGGCAAGCACATCTGGGCCACGGCCCATTCCCAGACTCTGGAGGAGAGCCGAAGCTGGCACTACACCTCCGGCACCAGGAGGCACCAGCGCAGCCTTCGCCGCGCGCCACGAGGGGAAGACGCCACACTGCGCCTGCGCGCTCCCACCGGCTCCCGGCCGCACTGCGCCTGCGCGCGGAAATCCACTCCGCGCGCAGCACGCCCCAGCCCAGCTCGTGCCTTGCCGGTTGCTATGAAAGCACATTCCGTGGCTGCCCCCCACCGCGTGCGTCGCCCCTCGCCTCCGTGACCCGGGCACTACCTCAGCGGCCGAGATCCAGCGGCGCTGCCCTAGCGGACCGCCGCCTCTCCCTGCTCGCGCTTTGTGGCGTCCACCTGGTGATACTGTCGCTACGGCAACCCGAGACTTCGCGAGATGTCGCGCGATCTGGGGGAGCATGCGCGGAGCGGCCCGGGACATAGGCTCTGCTTCCGTCAAGCGAGGCGGGCTGAGCTGCAAACAGTTATGCAGCCCGCCCGCTCCCCCCACGCCCCAGCGCATGCGCTTCCAGCTGGGCGTTTGGCGAATGGCTCGCGGCGGTGCGCGCTGAGAAAGGGAAGCACGTGACAACCGTCCGCCGTTGCAGTTGGGAGCAGCGCTGGGCTGCGGTACTGACTGGGTATGCTTTGCTACGTGAATAATTTCCACAGTTACCAAATGAAGAATTTACACGACTTAAAATACACCCATTTCTCAACCGTGGTAGAAACTTTTATCCCGATACTGTAACAGAAGTGCTCAGCTGCAGCCTGTGGCTCTTACCTAAGAGATGACTCCACGCACAGACAGCCCCACTGGCACTCAGTGCAGGGCTCTCCAATTTTCGCATGGACAGCAGCTGCAGAACCCCCGGCAGCGCTGCATGCGCCACACAGCACCCGTGGGGAGTCTGACTTCATTGCATAATAGATCTAATGTATGACAGGCCACTGGCGATGTGCATGTGGATGCATGTTCACCCCACGAGTGTGGCAATGCACCCCCTGCAAAAAGGCAGCAGTGACACTGCTGGTAGCACCTGTGGGTAGTCACCACTTGCCAACCCCCCCCTTGTCACCAAGGCTGCCAGTGGCATCTGCGGGCAGTCCACGATAGCTGCTGGCCACTGCTGGCGGTGTCTGCAGGTGGTTGACCGCTAGTCAGCACTCGCCACCCACCCAACAGCACTTGCAGCTGCCTGCGGGAGCTCCCTGCTGGCTGCCACCACTGCCTGAGGGAGCTCGCTGTGCCCCCGCAGCCTCCGGGGTCACGCAGCATTCATGACTGAGGCCTTTGTTCTGACAACAGGCCTGCTGCATGCGCAAAAACTCCACTAGCCCCATGACAGTCCTGGAAGCAGGCCCGAGGATCTGGCTCTCGATGCCAGCTTCCTAATGAAGTGCAAGATAGCGTTCTAGGATGGGGAAGCTACAAGGGACTGGATCCTAGTTGTGGCAGCACAGCCCTGGCACCTTCCCTGCCGTCTGCCCCAGGGACTTGCGCACCCACTGCTGACAATGAGCTGGGTTGGGGCTCTGCAGACCCTGGTGCATTTCCTTGCAGCCCACCTGGCTGCCCACCACAGCCAGTCTGTGCTCTGAGCAGGCCCCTGCTGCCTGCCACAGAGCCCAGGCTGCTTGCAGCAGGCAGTGGGAAGGCTGCAAGCAACTGCACTAGGGTCCACGGAGTTCCAGCGTGACACATTGCTGGCAGTGGGTGCACCTTGAAGTGGATGGTAGGGATCAGGTCTCTCACAGCTCCCCCACCATCTGCCCTGAGGTGCGGATGCAAAGCAAAATGCCTTTGCGGACCATGCTCCGACACCATGCCTGGGGTTGCCTACCCTGGTAAATAGAGCAGTTCTGTCATAAGGAACTCAGCAAGGCCGCGAAAGAGCAGATAGTTTTAACACTACATTTCCTGTGTGAAATCTCTGTAGTGCAGCTCTGTCAGCGCCACCTGTGAGCTGCCCTGCGGCTGCTTCACATTGTCACTGCTGCTGTGCTGGGCAGCCCAGATGCAGCAATGACAGAGTCGCACTTCAGCCTATCGTGGCGTGGGCTCCAGGCAGCCACACCAAAAACTGCGCTGCGGCCACAAGGGGAAGGAGCCACTTTCCCCCATGCTGAGCAGCAGTTTCTGCCTAGCTGCTGCTGCCACTGCTCAGCCCCACAGGCAAGCCTGGAGCTGGTGTTGGGGCTCAGGTTCAGCAGCAGCAGCACAGGAAAAACTGCTGCTCAGTGCAGGGGAAAAGGACCCCGCCCTCCCCCACCGCCAGTGCTTCCTGGTGCAGTCATTTGGAGCCCACGTGGGGCTGCCCTGTATCTGCTCTGCGCTGCCACTGCTGCCCTGTGGGGCAGCCCAAAAGCAGCGGTGACACGGTGTAGACATGGTGGAAATGTAGGATGGCCCAAAGTGGGCTCCAAGAGGGTGCATCAGGAAGCACTGACAGCGGGAGAGGGAGGGACCACTTCCCCTCCCATGCTGAGCAGCAGTTTGTTCTGTGCTGCTATAGCTCAGCCTAGACAGGTGAGCACAGGGCACACGGGGTTGCGGTTGTGTGTGCTGGTGCCCACCTGTACCGTGGGGCTGGGGGGAACTGGGAGCAAGCGAGAGCACAGGGTTTGTGCCAGTGCCCTAGGGCCAGCACCGGCAGGGCCCAGAGTAAGACAGTAGAAGCCTGGAGTCCCAGCCAACAGGGGCTCTGTGGAGCCGAGCCAGCCGCTCTCTCCCCCCGCTGGTGCAGCCCAGCCTGGCTCCATAGACCCCTGCAAGCCCGTGCCCCTGCCAGCCTGCTCTGGGCCCCACCGGCGCTGGCCCTACGCTCCCGCATGCCCACTCATTTCCACTCCCCCCCACTTTCTCCACTTCCCTGCCTGCCACTCCTGAACCACGTGGCTCCCGGCTGCATGGTCACAACAGCAGGATTCAGCAGGAGCCAGCCCGGCCCTGAGGACTGGGGACATGGCTGACTGGTGCCTCCAGTCAGTGATCGGAGGGAGGTCCCCCAGCTGCTGATCCCACTGTGGGGAGTCCCCTGGTGGCCGATCCCACTCACCAAAAAGCAGCTGTGCTGCTTCTGGAAATCCTGTGGCCACTTGTAGAAGTGGCACAGCCACTTTTACTGCCAGCCCCACTCCCCAGCTAGCGCTCACAGAGGGAGCGCTGGTGCTCCCACTGGCCCCCCTGGCCTGCCGGCTGAACAGGGAGCCCAGCCTGACAGGGTGCACCAGCAGTTTCAGGGGGTGCATGTGCCCCTGACTGGGGCAATTGCCAGTGGTCATTCCCTGCCTCCCCATCCCCCCCCTCTTCTTACTGAATTTCCCGCTTCAGTGGGAATAAACATCCCCATGGTCCCAGGCCAGAAGCCTCTGCTAGGTAGGGGCTTCTGACTGTGGGGGGCAGGCCTTACTGTTGCAGGGTCCTGCCATGGCTTCCCCTGGGTCCTACTGCTGCTGGCTCCTGTCATCTTTTCATCTGCCACTGGCTGCCTGTTATATTAATTTTCTAAATTTTTTAGGGGCCCCATGGGCTGGATAGAATGGCCTGGCAGGCTGAATCTGGCCCGTGGTCTTTATTTTGCCCACCCCTGGACTAGATCTCTGGAGGCCCCTTCCAGCCCTACTTCTCTATGAGTTCTGTAGTGTCACTGGGGCATCTCATGGCTGCAAGTTCCTTTGGACAAAGAGGTGGAGGCTTTCAAAACCTGGCTAGACAAAGCTTTGGCTGGGATAATGTAGTTGGGGATGGTCCTGTTTTGAGCAGGGGGTTGGACCAGATGACTTCCAGAGGTCCCTTCCAACCCCTTCTATGATTCTATATATTTTTTTGGTTTTCCCCCAACCATTCTCTGTGAAATAATACGAATATAAATAAAAAACAGCCCTTCTTGGCTTACACCAATTTCTTCTTCTCCCTCATCCCCTAAGATCTCCTGCTGTGGAGGAGAAACTGCCATATTCAGAATACAGCCAGCTAAACAGATAAGTAGGGTAGGATGCTGGTAGCAATGACTGCCTCCCTAACTGCTGTTACACGGCAATCAGCAGGTTGTTGGTTCTAACAAGCTCTAAGTGCTTCCATTAAGCTACATCCTACACATACTATTTTGCACTTACATAATGACTTTCATTAGAGAATATCAAAGTGCTTTAAAAAGGTAAGATTTCTTAACTTCAGCATTTGCACTGATTTACCATGCAGTACTACAGAAGGAAATCAAAATCTCTTCTTCTTTCCTCACATTCCTAGCATGGTTAAGGCAGGGAGGGAGGTGGAATCAAGCACAACCATATTTATTCTGCCAATCAATCTCACTGAACTAAGCCTTGCTAGAATATCTGCCTTGGAATGAATCACTTATAAATCAAATTCAACAAGAAATAATTCATCTGTATGAATATGTATGCTGTTTTTTGCTTCATTGATTTGATCTACATACATATGTAGGGAGCTTGTGTGTAAAACTAATGCCTTTTCTCTGGAACGACTGTTTTTGTTAACCAGCAAAAACCATTAGGTAAAAATGGACAATATTTTAAGTAGGGCACATTAAGACATCAGACTTCTCAAAACTCATCTATTCTTTCTTACCACTTCATTATCATATATGCGACTCAGGTGAAGCTCTTTGCACTCATGCAGCAGAGGGGAAGTTTGGCATGATGGAGCCAGCTCCCTTCCCCTCTCTAAAAGGAGTACTTCCAGTGGCAAAGGTTGGTGGGAGAGATGAGTAGGAAAGGACAAGGGATGGCAGGGATAGGACTTCTGGTCCCAAGATGACAAACGTTGGTGGGGGGCAGCTGTCAGGGGGCAGGGCTACCCTTGCTGCCCTTGACAGCTCATAAGTCATTAAGCAGCCCTCCAGCTGAAATAATTGCCCACTCCTGTTGTAGGCAGTAGAATATTACAAGTACTGCTTGATTTTCTTTAGCAGCAGAGAGTAGGACCAGACTATCCAAATATTTATGTTGTTACTGTAACAGTTATGTTTTGGTTAGAGATTAGAAAGAACTGGAAGTTACTACAGCATTTTGTAACTGAATTATAAAAGTGAAGTTCTCTTGTAGGCAAATTTAAAAGAGCTATTGCACTTGATATAACAATTATGATAGTTTGCATCTCATATCAGTTCACTACTGGCTCTCTACAACAGCACTTCTCAGCCTTGTTAGACTCAATACACCCCTCCAAAAATGCCAGCTCTTGGTTTTTGGTCATTCTTGCCTATGGAGCAATACTGCCATTGTAAAGAACTCAAAGACCACAACAGATCACAGACTGATTTTGACATTATGAATTCCTATTCAAAATCTCTGGGCTTATCTTGTGAATCATATGTAGATACTCACACACTTGATAGTGCTGGTATTGAACAACACATTGTTGCACACTGAGAATCCCTGTTGTAAAACTATTCTTTCACCTGTTCACC